CTTTTTGGTCGAATAGCATGGACACGGATACGTCTTTTTCTTCAATTTGCGTATTGTCATGTTTTAAGTTTTCAATTCTTTGACATTCTTCCGTAACCTTCTGCAAAGTAATCTCGGAATTTTGTTCGAGTTTTGCCAATATTCGGGACCTTATGTCCTTATCTTTGCTAGAAGTCAAGCCTTGAACGAATATCAAACACTTAGATCGATCAATTGAAAGATCATGTAACATAAAACGTTCACACATTCTGTTAACATTTCCAGCATACGTAACAACATCCTCATCGTTACACTTTACCATATTCAAACACGAGAAACGAGTATGAAACAAACTAACTCGCTTGCCAAAAATACTAGATAAAGTATTAACAGTTTCTTCGAAAGAAATGTCACTAGTTTTTCTTGGAAGGACAAAATTCGTATACTTATTATTTTCATCTGTACCCAACTTTTGTAAAAGTAAACTCACTTTTTGTTCATCAGTCCAACCTTCACATTTTTTTTCAAATATTGTTTCAAATCTTCTGAAATACGCAGGAAATGTTATACCCTCTTCTGGGTTAAATTTGAACTCGGTAATAGAATTAGCAATACCTTCGGCCGTGAATGACGAATTTGCTGGATTCTTTAGTAACATTGCTTCAAATAAAGCCTTTGTGTCATTTCGCTGCTGAACTTGTAAATCCAATAGTTGTTCCCGAAACAATTTTTGTTGCTCTTGTTCCTGAATTTGACTTTGCACTAGAGTTTTCGTTAATGCATTCAAATCTTCCATTATGCGTAATAGATTGCACAAAACACTTTTCGAAAACAGTCAAAAAGGAGAAAACACGTATATATCCAACAATAAGCACAAGTCTTACTTCTTTTTGGCACGTTGAAATCCTATTTCTTCTTGAAGAACAAAGTTCGACGTATTGTTTTTTTTTTTTCTTTCTTTCAGTGCGAGAAAAAACAATTATATAGTCCACCTAGAGTTGAAAAATTCTCCACTCAGCGTAATGAATGAATCTCTCGTCGCCACTGTTATGATGTTCATTTTGGGGTTAATAAAGAATAACATGTAACAATAAAATGGGGTTTATTCGGTTGGTAAGTTGGTACAGTATCGCCTGAGTAGTCTATAACAAACTCAGCCCAAGAACTTCTTCTACTCCGTCTTTTGACATGCCACTAGTTAACGTACTTCTTTGTAGACGAGTTCATCTCCAAGAGGGGTGGTAGGTTCCTACACAACAATGGACGAACCCGGCACATAGATGAAGAGGTTCTCCACAAATATCTGCTTGTGCCACTCTATGCTAAACCTACTAAATGTTTATGTTGCCTATATGGGAAATGTTTTAACTCCCGAAAAACAACGCGAAACAGAAATCTGACGGGGCATTGTAAGTGCGAAAGATGCCTTCCGAAAGCTCAGCAAAGCATTAAGAAACAGGAAAATTTCATTAGTACAAAGAGTGTTGAATTGCTGGTATTTTTACTATAACGTTGGTTAGATCCAGTGACAGGACCCAAAGAGTGTGAGTTCAATACCCGGTTAAGGCAGTGGAGAACGTTCAGAGGGAATTTAACAGGAGATAACTGATAACTGACATCCATTAAACATGGCACGTGGAACTAGAACAGTCAATCCCAGTGAACGAAATAATTAAGTTCGACATTCCAACCACCTGAAGAAGGCCCGAGCGTACAACGTAATAAATATGGCGACAAAGATGAGGAGAATAGTCCGAATAATGTAAATAATATAGATAGATAAATTCGTTTCTATAGTTTATAAACCCTTTGCAGGTGGTTTAAATCCAGAGAAAAATACGTTCTACTTTTCAGCAATTTTTAGACTGTCCACAATAGCAGTTAAACACCATTTATTTTAGTACTAGAACTAAATCCTTGAAAGTAGCTAAGAGATTAGCTGAAAACCCCGAGAAAAATATCCGGAGAAATAATTTCTACACTCTGTAAGTTAGAAGAAAACACTGAACAAATGTGTGATGTCAGTCTTTTTTAACAAATCCATCCAATCTTTCATTCCCTCTAATGATTACATATATAGTGAAATAGCAAATACTAAAAGCATAGATAGAAATTCATTGCAAATGATTTTACTATAGGAAGGCATTGCAAATTATTTACTAGTCATTTATCTTATCACTGATAGGATTTATTAAACAAATCAATCCAAACTTTCATTCCCTCTAATGATTACATATATAGTGACATAGCAAATACTAAAATCATAGATAGAAATTCATTGCAAATGATTTTACTATAGGAATGCATTGCAAATTATTTACTAGCCATTTATGTAAGCTGTTTTATCACTGATAGGATTTATTAAACAAATCCATCCAAACTTTCATTCCCTCTAATGATTACATATATAGTGACATAGCAAATACTAAAAGCATAGATAGAAATTCATTTAAACAAATTGGACACTTATAGTTAACAACAAAAAGAGTCCAATTTCTAGGGTACATAATGAGGAAAGTGGGTTTGGTAAATTTGATATGCACAGGACAGATTGATTTGTTTTCTACGGATTATCAACCTTTTGCAAGTTATTTAAAGGTGGAAGAATTTGTTTCTTTTAGATAATAATCGTTTAGTTATAAAAGTTTTACTAATTAATTAATTAATCCATTAATTAAACATGTTTGGATGAATAATTGCTGCTTAAATATACCATATCTAACATTTTGACACTTTTTTTATACTGAGGCCAATTCTTTTCGCTTGCAGAAAGAAATCTGTCTGCAGCTATTGTACAGGATATCCCACAAAAAGTTGACATCATTTAAAATATAAATATCTGAGTAACCACATGTCCCAGATAAACGAAATTAATTAGGCTTCATGTTGAACAATAAAAGATTTTATTATCAAAATTCGAGCTAAATATTCAAAGGGATTTTATAACTTTTATAAGCTTCACAAATGTTCAATGTGCACTTCACCTGTGACACGACACACGTTAAGTCGATAGTCCAGCTCCTGCCAAACACGCTGTAGCATGTCTTGCGTAACATTCTCCAACACTTCAATGGTTTTCTGCTAAAGTTCTTCTCGGCTTGTAGGATGAGGGAGAGATATAGACCTTTCCTTTAACATAGCCCCATAGGGAAAAAAATCACAAGTTGTCAAGTCAGGTGAATGTGGTTGCTACTTCAGCACATTGCCATTATCACTGGCTCACCCGATCCATCATCCTGCTAGATTCTCATTGAGATAAGTCCGCACTGAGGCGTCTTTTTTTTTTGGGGGGGTGACATTGCTTGTAAAAGTCAAATAATTGTCGGATTTTAATGAAACTTTCAGAACTTATTCACAAATCAATGAAATTATCAATTTTTTATTTTTATTTTTATTTTTTTTTTTTTACATCTGTTACCCTCACTTATTTAATTTTATGAAATTTCGAAAAAATTAAATTTTAACTCGCTTAATATTTATATTACTTAAATGCTGAAACATTGGAGAATTTAAATCATTAATTTTAACTCGTTTAATGTTTATATTAGTTAAAGGTAGAAATCCGTGGAGAATAATGGACCATTTTGATTGCAAGAAAAAATAGAAGAAAAAGATCTATCAGAGATTCTATTTCATTTCATAAAAGAATAAAGCGTTATAAGAAAGAAAGAAAGAAAGAAAGAAAGAAAGAAAGAAGGGAATATACAGGGTGTTCCCCAAAAATTGAATTAATTTAAAATGTGAATATCTGAGTAACTACACGTCCCAAGCAAACAAAATTAAATAAACTTCATGTTGAACAATAAAAGATTTATTTATCAAAATTCGAAATAGATATTCAAAGGGATATAGATTTTATAACCAATTTCACAAAGCTTCACAAATGTTAAATATGTGCACCATCTGTGACATGACACACAAGTCGATAGTGCAGCTCCTGCCAAACACGCTGTAGCATGTCTTGCGTAACATTCTCCAGCACTTGAATGATTTTCTGCTCAAGTTCCTCTAGGCTTGTAGGAAGAGGGGAAAATATAGATCTGTCCTTTCACATAGCAAAATAGAAAAAAATCGCAAGGTTGTCAAGTCAGGTGAACATAGTGGCCATTTCAATGGCACATTGTCATTATCACTGGCATACTCGATCCATCTTTTTTGTTAAAATTTGAGATCATTTGAGCGAGAAATGCCTATGTTATTAGACTACAAAATAATGTCAATTGTTTTGGGGACACCCTGTATAGTGGAGTTAATTCCCTTATGTGTTTGATGTCTCCTTCAGTGAAATGGAAAAACACGTCAATTTCAAATATTTTCATTTGTACCCTCTTACTTCTTTAAATAATGACCTACATTCATACTTATGATTATTATTGTAATATTTTGTTCAAATTGTTAAGCTCAAATATTTAATGATGGGGGAAAATAGACAAGTCCGTTCATATAGCCACATAGGAATAAAATCACAAAGTGTCAAGTCAGGTGAACATTTCAACACCACATCGTCATTATCACAGGCATGCTCGATCCATCTTCCTGGAAAATTCTCATTGCGATTAGTCTGCACATTTAACTTAGTTTTTACACATTTTGTTAAAATTTGTGATCATTTGAGCAAGAATTGGCTATGTTATTAGACTACGAAATAATGTCAAACGTTTTGGAGACACAGATAGATAGGTAGGTAAGTAGGTAGATCTGTTTGGAGTAATGAATAGAGACTCGGTTTGAGGAATCGAAGAACCGAGTTCGAATCCCAGTCGAATCCATTACACCCACCAAGGCACGTAAATTCATGCGGTGGGTGAGGTAGGAATTCCCTTCTCCTACCCCTACCCTAGCTATGAGTCTTCTCAGTTTTATAGCCTTGGATGGCAAGGTTTTACGAGAAGAACAGCTCTGAATTTAAAACCTTCGAGACCATGAAGCACACGGTGTGGTTAGTTCTGCAAAAAGCCTTCGCTACTCTAATCAAATCATGTGCAAGTGTCTGTAGGAATTGGGTTTCTTGATCTTCATACGTCGAAAACGACGGGAGAGTTATTAGCTGTATTTGCAGCAGCAGCATAGAAAGAAAGAAAGAAAGAAAGAAAAGAAAGAAAAGAAAAAGAAATATAGAAAGAAAGGAAGAAAATGAACGGACTGTGATAGATAGATAGATAGATAATGAACAGACTGGGATAGATAGATAGATAGATAGATAGATAGATAGATAGATAATGAACAGACTGAGATAGATAGATAGATAGATAGATAGATAGATAGATAGATAGATAGATAATGAACAGACTGAGATAGATAGATAGATAGATAGATAATGAACAGACTGAGATAGATAGATAGATAGATAGATAGATAGATAGATAATGAACAGACTGGGATAGATAGATAGATAGATAGATAGATAATGAACAGACTGAGATAGATAGATAGATAGATAGATAGATAGATAGATAGATAGATAGATAGATAGATAATGAACAGACTGAGATAGATAGATAGATAATGAACAGACTGAGATAGATAGATAGATAGATAGATAGATAGATAGATAGATAGATAATGAACAGACTGAGAAAGAAAGAAAGAAAGAAAGAAAGAAAGAAAGAAAGAAAGAAAGGGAGAAAATGAACAGACTGTGATAGATAGATAGATAGATAGATAGATAGATATGAACAGACTGAGATAGATAGATAGATATAATGAAAGAAAAAAAGAAAGAAAGGAAAGAAGAAAATGAACAGATAGATAGATAGATAGATAGATAGATAGATAGATAGATAGATAGATAACCCTCAGTCAGGTCGTCAAAAAACCTCAACCACTGATGAACAAGTCGAATCCATTACATTCACTTACTTACGTAATTCACACCGTGGGAGAAGTAGAAATTCCCTTCTTCTCCCCCCAGCTATGGGGATTCTCGGTTTTATAGCCTTGGATAGCAAGGTTTTACGAGGAGAACAGCTCTGAATTTAAAACCTGCGAGACCTTGAAGCACACGGTGTGGTTAGTTCTGCAAAAAGCCTTCACCACGCTAATCAAATCATATGTGCAGGTGTCCTGGCTTCTAGTTCCTTGGAACTCAGTTGCTTGAACCTCATACTCTTAACTCTAGCTAATTCAAAAGTAAACGGATGTGACCTAACTGCCAATTTAAAATCTTAAATTCACGCGTTCAACATACCAAGGATGAAAATTCATTGAAACTGAAATGAAAATATTTATAGAAAAGACAGTGAAGCCATGTCACGGCGATGGGAAATTTACTGAAGCCGAGATGTTAGCTTAAGACCAATAACATTGCAGATTCTTCTTTGGGTTTGAGCAAGAATCTCTAAATATATAGCAGGAGAATCAGGCAGCAATATTCACAGCCTGGATGAATGGGAGACTGTTAAATATGTAAGACTGATTCTGGAGAGAAATATTATCTAGTTCGACACAAGGAACCGGCCTTCTAGGCAGAACACCTAGCAATTGATTCAATACAATCGCTCCATGTCAGTAGAAAACATGAAACCAAAATGGTGCAATGAGTTGCTCTCCTGTAGGTTAGCATCAGCCATACTGACGGAAGGATGAAATGGTTCTCTATGGTGATTAAATGATACAGAATTTTCTACATTTTCATTTAGAATGTGTCATCAAATTGGTTGACATTTTATTTCCTACATTCTATACAGTGTGGTTAGTTTTGCAAAAAACTTTCATCACTCTAATCAAATCATATGTGCAGGTGTCTGGCTCCTGGCTCCTAGTTCCTTGGAACTCAATTTCTTGATCCTCATAAGACGAAAACGACGGGAGAGTCCAATTCAGTCATAGACAGACAGACATATAGCTATTGGATGTATTTGCGGCAGCATAGATAGATAGATAGATAGATAGATAGATAGATAGATAGATAGATAGATAGATAGATAGATATTATTAATAGAAATCTTATAAGTATAAGTATCATATGTGCAGGTGTCTGGCCCCTGGCTCCTAGTTCCTTGGAACTCAGTTGCTTGACCCTCATACGTCAAAAACGACTGGAGAGTCCAATTCAGTCATAGACAGACAGACAGGCAGACATATAGTTATTAGCTGTATTTGCAGCAGCATAGATAGATAGATAGATAGATAGATAGATAGATAGATAGATAGATAGATAGATAATTTTTTGAAATTTTTTAATAGCACGTTCGAAATTTTGGTTAAAAATCTTGTTTTTTTTTTGTGGGGGGGTTACGTCAACGGCGAAACAAAGATAAAGGTTAATTTTTTTTGTTTTTTTTTTTTGTTTTTTCCGATGAAAAACACATTGATTTGGAAATTTTTACATAATTCAAATAATTGTCGGTTTTTAATGAAACTTTAGGGACATATTCAGAAATGAATAAAATTATTTTTGAAATATTCTTTCTAGAAAATTTTGGTAAAGATTTTTTTTTTTTTACATATCTTACCACCAACTTACTTAATTTCATGAAATTTCGAGAAATTAAATTTTTAGGATGGGGATATTTTTTATTAGTTAAAAACAGGATTCTTTGGAGAAAGTAAATCATGAGTTGTGAAAAGATTGAGATTAAGAGACAATGAGATAGATAGATAGATAGATAGATAGATAGATAGATAGATAGATAGATAGATAGATAATGAAGCGTCTAAGATAGATAGATAGATAGATAGATAGATAGATAGATAGATAGATAGATAGATAGATAATGAAGCGACTGAAATAGATAGATAGATAGATAGATAGATAGATAGATAGATAGATAGATAGATAGATAGATAGATAATGAAGCGACTGAAATAGATAGATAGATAGATAGATAATGAAGCGACTGAAATAGATAGATAGATAGATAGATAGATAGATAGATAGATAGATAGATAGATAATGAAGAGACTGAAATAGATAGATAGATAGATAGATAGATAATGAAGAGACTGAAATAGATAGATAGATAGATAATGAGGCGTCTAAGATAGATAGATAGATAGATAGATAGATAGATAGATAGATAGATAGATAACGATGCGATTTAGATAGATAATGAAGCGACTTAGATAGATAGATAGATAGATAGATAAATAGATAGATAGATAGATAGATAGATAATGAAACGACTGAAATAGATAGATAGATAGATAGATAGATAGATAGATAGATAGATAGATAGATGAGAAAAGCAGAATAGATTTGTAGAAAGGCAACGAGAAAGAAGGCGCATATTGTTCATATATGAAAGGCGTTTCTGCCTGCCCGCCTGCCTGCCTGCCTGCCTGCGTTGCCTGCCATCCATCGGCTGTCGTCCCAGCCGAATCAGGCATGCCGCTATAGCAACATGTCGCCGCCGTTGTTGCTGAATTCTTGTGATTACATCTGGCGACTTTAACAACGGTAATTATACCGACAAAAGCGTACCGAGAACCGAATAGACCCTACCCCAGCTTCCGTCCTGACCACAGCCCCACCCGACTTCTTCTCGTTTCATTCGCCTGTTTCCATGGGGACGGCTGTAGTTAAGATGGAACCACAATCCATCTGACGTTTAAAAGCAGCGTCCTGGTCATGCCAATAAGCGTCTTTCTTTTCCTATTTTTCCTTTCTGTCTGTTGGGCACACCTCTTAAGGCGGTACTAAATATGGAACGTAGGCGCCTGTCTCAACTCGGGAATTTCCGTTGTGGGCAGACCAAGTAAACATTGGGAGGTGTTCGCATCTAGTCATACCTTTCTGATTCATTTTTTTTTTTTTTATTACTCTGAGGCAATGTGTAAATATTGATGATAAATAAATGGACGGGAAAGAAAGACCGAGAGTCAGAATAGAGATATATGAACAAAGAGATAGACAATATATATATATATATATATATATATATATATATATATATATATATATAGCAGACTGAGATTGAAAAAAGATAGATAGATAGATAGATAGATAGATAGATAGATAGATAGATAGATAGATAGATATCTTAGTCATTCATTATCTATCTATCTATCTATCTATCTATCTATCTATCTATCTATCTATCTATCCCAGTCTGTTCATTTCTATCTATCTATCTATCTATCTATCTATCTATCTATCTATCTATCTATCTATCTGAATCTTTTTCTTCCTTTCTGTACACTATAAGCTAAAATTTACTAACTCCTACTAAGCGTGTGGCAGAACTGCATTCCAGATAGATAGATAGATAATGCACAGACTGAGATAGATAGATAGATAGATAGATAGATAGATAGATAGATAGATAGATAGATATGAATTTTTGTGATAGATGAAAATATATTTAGACAGATATGAACAGACTGAGAGAGAGAGAGGGTGGAACAGCTAGAGAGAGGGGGAAAAGGAAGTGAAAGAGAGATGAATGGATGTTGCAAAAGATAGGTATATACTTACATTGTATTGAATATCGTGAAAGACCGGAATATACAGATAACATATCTATGTATATCGGGTGTCACAGCAAAATTGTCCAATTCCTGTAATAGCATGGGATAATTGCCCACAAAATGTTTAATATTAAAAAAAAACAAAAAAAACAGTAAAGTAATTGAGTTTCTTTTTTCCAGGTTTTCAGACCAGACGTTTCGCCATCTTGACACCATTTCTCGTAACTATCACTGAAAAAAAACCCTTTGAGTTATTCAGCTAGAAAAAGAACAGTTTAAAATCGTTTTGTGTCAGCCCCACTATGTCTTCTCAACTAAGCAATGGTGAGAGGAAAAAGATCATTCAGGCCTTAAGTAATGGTACCAACATTCATACTCTGGCTTTCATCTTCAAAGTCCATTCAAGAACCATCAAGAGAACGGAGAATATAATTAAAAAAAAAGAGGAGGCAGTAGAGAGGAAAAACTTGATCAGGAGGTCACAACAAGAAGGGGGATCATCATTTCAACTTAGAACTAAATACATTCTCATTGCACAAAGTAGAATTCAATAGGGTTATAAAAACCTCGGAGGATTCCAGTAAGATATCTTTAATCATTTCTAAGATAAAACGGTTCAAAGTTTGATCAAACAATTGCACACTTTTGATGCTACAGCCGGTATATGATTCTAAGATATTGCACATTGAGTGCAGGTGGTAATAAAATAGTGCTCGATGTAATATAACAGAGCTATTAAGTATACATTAATAAATATTCATATTATTTGTCGCCGGTATTACAAGACGGAGTTTCATACACAATGCAATCTTCAGGTGCTGAGTAGAGAAGGGTTATGCTACCGATGAGGAATAATATGTCTATTTACTTCGGACAATTGCTGACGGAATTTCCTCTTTGAGAAGGACTATTTGTCATTTGAAAAAGTCGATTATAAAAATGAATAGACACAAAATATCCGTTGTCTTTAATATACATATATAGAGAGAGAGACATAGACATATGGATAGAGAGTGAGAATGAAGGTCGTAAAAGAAAGAAAGAAAGAAAGAAAGAAAGAAAGAAAGAAAGAAAGAAAGAAAGAAAAAAAGGAGAAAGACATGGATAGTGCGTGATAAATAGAAAGAAAGAAAGAAAGAAAAAAAGAGGAGATAGATATGAACAATGCGTAATAGAAAGAAAGAAAGAAAGAAAGAAAGATAGATAGATAGATAGATAGATAGATAGATAGATATAAACAGTGCCTGATAGATAGATAGATAGATAGATAGATAGATAGATAGATAGATAGATAGAAAAAAAAAAAGAAAGAAAGAAAAAGAAAGAAAGAAAAAGGAGAAAGACATGAATAGTGCGTGATAAATAGAAAGAAAGAAAGAAAGAAAGAAAGAAAGAAAGAGGAGATAGATATGAACAATGCGTGAGAGAAAGATAGATAGATAGATAGATATGAACAGTGCCTGATAGATAGATAGATAGATAGATAGATAGATAGATAGATAGATAGACATGAATCGTGCGTGATAAATAGAATGAAAGAAAGAAAGATAGATAGATATGAACAGTGCGTGGCAGATAGAAATATAGATAGATAGAAAGAAAGAAAGAAAGAAAGAAAGAAAAAGGAGGTAGACATGAGTAGTGCGTGATAAATAGAAAGAAAGAAAGAAAGAGGAGATAGATATGAACAGTGCGTGACAGATAGATAGATAAATAGATAGATAGATAGATAGATAGATAGATAGATAGATAGATAGATAGATAATGGTTGCCAACACGTTGTCTAGTATGACCATCACATGATATCATTGTGTGACTAGTTGTGCTTTGAACGGATGTAAAATCTATGGCACGAAGTTGGCAAACCTGAGAAATATGCATTTTGATGTCAATAGATCCACTTGTAAAGTTTTCCGTCAAAGTGAATGAATTCTCAGTACGTAATTTTGTAGTTTGTTGGTGCTCGACGGTGACTTTGACGGATGCAACGATAATGCCGGAGCCTGTCTTCTCGTCGAGGCTTCTGATCAATTGATAGTCAAGCAGAAGTCAGATAATAGAAAGCGAAAAGGATAACTCTGTTTATTCGATCAAACCAGCATGAGGAGTCGAATGACGAGTGAAACAGCTACATCCAACCCGAGAGTTATTTTTCTAAATATCTTTTTCCTTTGTTGTAGGACAGTAGGCGAGTTATAGTAGTGGTCTTACTGCGTGTATTTTTTTTAATATGTATATACCTGTTCCGTATAAGTTGCCCTCTGAATACTCAACACTGTTCCGGCTAATTCAGCACCGTGGTCACTTAACATTTAATTAATTAGTGAGATCATCGCAAATAAATGTATCATATTTATTCTCTATCGTAATTACTATTCGTTGCCTTAACTTTTAAAAGGTGGGAAAAGGTTGCATACCAAACGGCGAAAAACAAAGAAAATCCATTTTTTTTTAACGGTGAGATTTTATGCTTAGCATCAAATATAAAATAGTAATATTTTAACTCGTTCAGATTGTGCCTTAAAATAATTATCGGACTTTGTCCATTTCATAATGTATGAATATAACATTTGTTTAATTGTCATCTGTTTTCTACAGTGTAAGCCGGATATAAGAGAGTTGTCGGGACCTGAGAAGAAGTCTCTTATATCGGGGTTTCTCTTATATCCGGGTTTGGTCTATTTTGTTTAGGTAAGTATGGGCTCTAATTTGGGACCAGAGAAAATCTCTCTTATATCCGGGTTTCTCTTATATCCGGGTCTCTTATATCCGGGTTACACTGTATAATGAAATGGACAAAGACCGACAATTATTTTAAGACATTTTTATGCTTATACATTCTTTGTTATAGATACAAATATTTAAGTAAATGCTCTGTTTATAATAAAATGTCTTAAATTGTCGGACTTTGTCCATTTCATAATGTGTGACGTCATTTGTTTACATTTGGATACGCATTGGGCAGATATGAATGTACGTAAGAGAATCATGGAGAATTGTAGTTTAAAAACAGTAAAAAATCGACCTTGCTAACCGAACGCTCCTCTGTGGCCAAATCGGTTAAAGCACGTCAATCTATATGACGGTTCCGTATAGGTTACAGGTTCGATTCCTGTCGGAGGACAAATATTCCCTATGACAATTTCTCGGACATTCAGGCTGGTAAATGTTGTTTAATACTGTTTATTATAAACAGAGAATTTACTTAAATATTTGTATCTATAAAAAAGAATGTATAAACATAAAAATGTTATATTCCTAAATTTAATATTTTTTTAAACAGCATTTTACTCCTTGAAGTAATCTATGTAACATGGAGTTGTGCATTCTTTGCCACCATTTTTGTCTCTTTTTTTTTCTCCGAGAAACATGCATACACGCGTTTTACTTCCGGCTTTATTTACAGGCAGATGCTCCAGGAAATGACGTAAGCTCATGAATCCTAGAATTGCCAGTTAGTCATTTCGAAACGAGTCATGAACGATGGCTGTATCGTTGAGAAAAGTTTTAAATCATCAATTGGTGATACCAGTAGTTTAAGGGTGAGACTAGATGTATTAGGATGTATCAAAGGTATTTTCGTTTTTTTTTTTTTTTTTTTTTGTTATTTATAAACTAAGATCACAAACTGTTTTGATGATTTTTGTGAACACATATAATGAGGAAAGCGGATTTGGATAATTCGACACTTACAAGGCATATTATCAGGTCATCCCATAAGGTCTGTCCGAATTTTGAATAAAGAAAACAAGTGACCAAATGTTACATTTAATTACAGATTCAATCAACAATGGATTTTCCCTGATTATCTATGACTTCCTTCCATCTATTAACAAGCTTACGAATTCCATTACTGTAAAATTCTTTTGGCTTTGATTCGAAGAACTCACAAATGTCAGTTTTAACCTCTTCCTGTTTTACAAAAGCTGTTTCTTCCAAATGATTCTGTAAGATACGAAACAAATGGTAGTCTGAAGGAGCAAGATCGGGAGAATAAGGTGGATGAAGAATTTTCTCTCAACCAAGTTCTTCGATCTTTTGTGACGTGATTCTTGCTGTGTGGGGTCGCTCATCGTCCTGATGAAACATCACCCATTTTCGATTCACTAGAGCAGGTCTTTTTTTCCTCAAAGCTTGGTTCAAACGCTCTAATTGCTGACAGTATATTTGAGCATTAATTGTTGCATTAGGTGGTAAGAATTCAAAGTGGATTATTCCTTGGCGATCCCACCAGATTGAAAGAAGAATGTTTTGCCCATGAAGTTCCCTTCTCGGCTGTGGCTGGGGTCCTTCCCCTTTACCAAGCCACTGTCTACGACGCTTAACATTTCGATAAAAGATTCCTTTTCCATCGTCAGTGACAAGTCAATCCAAAAAGGTGAAATAAGTTGGCGAGAATGGAGAGAAGAGCAGATGTCAACTCGGGATTTGAGGTTGTTTTTAGACAATTCATGAGGCACCCATTTTCCAAGTTTAGGAACTTTTCCAAGTTGTTGAAGATGACGATGGACAGTTGTATGGTTTGAACTGAGAACCACTGCAAATTCCTCAACTGATAACGCAGGATTTTCTTCAAGGGCTGCTTCAAGAAGCTTTTCATCAAACTCAACTAGACGTCCGGTTCGATCTTCATCACTAAATTTGCATTTGGGATCAAAACAATTTTCAGCATGTTTGCTTGATAATTTATAGTTAACTAGCATTGGTCCTGTACAGCAAGGATAAAACATCCGGTTTTAGCTTTTAACCCTGCACTACGTAGCCACTGATGTGTACGGAGTCTGACTACATCAACTTGTTTGGTAAGGGTAGAGTATTGGCCATGAAGAGGTTTATGTTTCCATCGTTTCTGCATTTGATCCAATGCAATTGCTTTTTGCCTTCTTTTTTTAGTTTCTTTGCCGCTTCAATAGGTACATTCTGGTTTATTTGCACTTCTGCACCCACTTGAAATTCCATTTTCTATTTATTGGCTTCCTATATTACTGAACTAAGTATTTTATTTCTTTCATGTCATTATTATTATTAAATAGGAGAATATGTCAAAATTATTTTCGCATTTTACAGACCTTAACTTGAAAGCTTACTTCATGGGCACATCTAAAATCAACCTAAGAGCTGTTCCGGGCAGTGCTGCCACCTGTGTACTCCCAACGATGTCACGTACACCAAGAATGATTCTTAGAAATAGTCCCGGGTACGCCAACTACAAATAATGGCGTAAGCGAAGGACAGAGCGAACGTTTCCACCAAGACATCAAGACTATGAAAGAGTGATGCCAAGCCCGACGGAACAGCCAGATGATGTCCGCTTACTGCTGGAATCTTATGCCTGATTGCACTCAGAAAACTCACAAAAGAAGTCATATAAGCGAAGCTTCCTTCAGATGAAATAAAGTGCAACAACTCGGACAGCTTGTGATATTAGGCTTGCAAGAGATTTTGAATAGCTTAAATTACATATTTTTGATCTCTTATCATAAATGAGAATACGACTTAGAAATATGCTGCTCCTTTTTTGTTCATTATTAAAAAATAGTATTAGGTTGGTGCAAAAATAATGTCGTTTTTGACGTTAAGTTGAACGTCAAAAACGACATTATTTTTGCACCAACCTAATAGCATGCTGACAGTAAATATCACATTTGAATTATCCATATACAATCAGAAAACTTAAATAAAAGGGATACATTTATTCAACATTGTTTTATTATCAATTCATAGCCTAAAGATATCATCTCGTCTAAATGCTTATGTCATTATTAAGAGGAAAGATCAAAGTATTTTTAGGTTATTTCTTTACATTTTTTAACCGTTCCTAGAACGTCCAAAATTTTCGTTAAAAATCTTGTTTTTTTTTTTTTTTTTTGAGTCAGCAAAATTGACAGATAATCGATCATGGCCACCATTTTTTCCATTTTATAAAAAAAAATGAAAATCTCAGTTTGAAATTCTTTTAAAAATCAATTATCATTTTTATCAAAACTTTTTTTTTTTCAAAAATTATTTTTATTTTTTCAAGTTTTTCCAAATTAATGTGTGTCATAAAAAAAAAAAAAAAAAAAAACGTGCTAAAAATATTTTACTAGTTCCGGTGATACAAAGAGAAACAAGAATTTTTAAATGAAAATGAAAATTCAGAATGTTCTAAAAAGAAGGAAAATTTTTTTTAAATAATTAAAATAAAAATGGGTAAGACGATAAACTACGTCCAGCAGCAAGGCCTCTGATCAGGAGGTTTTGAGGAGCGTGGAACCACCTCTTGATTGCTGGTGTTCCCAGGTCCACCCTGATCCGGGGTGGTAGCACCTGTTAGGGTCCCAGCTATGGGCAAATAGTTAATTATTACTAGCAATACTTTTTTGAAAAAAATTATTACCAGCAATACAATAAACCAAAGCAAACCAATAATCCAATTAGTATAATTGGCTACAGATTCGTATACACGATAAACACATTCAGTAATATCTTAAAATTTAGCGATAATTAGACAAAACAGCTCTTCTCCTCGAATTCAGCGATTTCAATATACCCAAGAAACACTCTCACCTAATATACCAAAATATTTTCTTGGCCAGTGTTATTTTTCTTACAACTTTGTCACCTTACTTAACTCTCGAAATCTCTCGCCAGATTAGCCTTTCTTCTCACTTGGCAGGAAGCGTATTAAAAAAGAAAAATTGATATAGCTTACTAAGGATTAAATCTTCGTTGTTATTATTCTAACGTTTCAGTCGTTCAGGCCTTCTTCACGTCTCTGTTGATCTGAGTAACCTTCAGAGCATTTGGAGCTGAACTTTTTGTTTAATCTACGAATCCATTTACTCGACTCCACATGGTGGTCTTATTGATGTGGGGCTGTCTTCAGCCGATCCCCATAATTCCTAGGGACGATATTCCACCAACCCTATAAGCTTTTAGTGCATTAAGGAAACCGGTGTTTCAACGTGATATGGCCGTAAAGAGATAAAAAAAAAAGATAAAGTCAGTAGCGTGAGTGAAATAGGGAATAAGAAAAATAAACTCTGAACTCTGAATAATAGAGGAAGGTCGATGAATGTATCGGCCTTATCTTTATGTTCAACAACGTAAATAAACTTTTCCTGTCAGGTCTTCAAACAACCTAAGCATACGGCCATATCACGTTGAAACACCTGTTCCTGTACGATCACGGAAGTTAAGCAACGTCGAGCCTGGTCATTACCAAGATTGGGAATACCAGGTACTGTAAGCCTGGATGTGCGGTTGGTGTAATAGATAACGGCTCGGAATTGTTAATCGGAGAGCCGAGTTCGAATTCCCGTTGGGTTCATTGCATTCACTTACGCTCAAATACCCTGAAAGATCCTGTCATTTCCACTTTTTCTCCCCAGCTATGGGTTAATTAGTAAGACTTGTATTGGAAAATCATTATTATCTCTACAAAAAAAAACTTACGATCTAAAATATTTCTGGCTTTAACTAACTTTCAAAGGGTTGATGAACCGTAAATAAAAAAATCAATCAAATGAAATTCAAACATATGAAAGTAGGATAATTTTTTAGAGAAACAAAACGTGAAAACGAAAAATAATTTTTCATTCTTTTTTTAATCTTTTGTTTTTATTCATATTTTTTATTCTCTCAAGATAATTATTTCTTTTTTTTAATATTACGTATTTATTTATTTATATACTGTTATATCCTATTTTTTATTATTAGGCATTTATTTATTTATATATTATAATTTATTATTTTTTTATTCTTAGGTATTTATTTATTTATAGATTATTATTTCTCATTTTTATTATTAGGTATTTATTTATAGATTATTATTTTCATTTTTATTATTTATTTATTTATAGATTATTATTTCTCATTTGTATTATTAGGTATTTATTTATAGATTATTTTTTCATTTTTATTATTAGGTATTTATTTATAGATTATTATTTCTCATTTTTATTATTAGGTATTTATTTATAGATTATTATTTCTTATTTTTTTTAATAGTATGCCTTTATTTATTTATAGATTATTATTTCTCATTTTTATTATTACATTTATTTATAGATTATTATTTCTCATTTTATTATTAGGTATTTATTTATAGATTATTATTTCTCATTTTATTATTAGATTTTTTATAGATTATTATTTCTCATTTTATTAATATTTATTTATAGATTATTATTTTCATTTGTATTATTAGGTATTTATTTATAGATTATTATTTCTCATTTTTATTATTAGGTATTTATTTATAGATTATTATTTCTTATTTTTTAATAGTATGCCTTTATTTATTTATAGATTATCATTTCTTATTTTTTATTATTAGGTATTTATTTACAGATTATTATTTCTCATTTTTTTATTATTGGGTATTTATTTATAGGTTATTATTTCTTACCTTTTTATTCTCTCAAGACAGAGTTTGAACCTTAAACAATACACAACCCCTGAACCTTCATTATTCGTAATAAGATATTTTGAAAGTAGAGTATGAAATGGTGGTAATAGATTCTATCATAAATTTCCGGCACCAATTCTAATGCCATTTCATTCTTTTTACCTCAATTGCTTTTCGTCCATATGAATCTTTTATTGCCTGATTCAGAATCAGGACATCACAAACAGAATGTACCATTTCATCTCTGTCCATTCGTTTCATACCTTTGCATCCTGTTCTAACCAATGAGTCACCCGTCTCCGATAAAGATCGTGTCGGCACCTATATTAAGGCCCACCTAACTGTCAATAAATGCGCAAAGGCAGGTGATTCATGACACAGTTTAATTTGATAGATATCCGCTCCAAAGAAAAAAAAATCCATATTTCTTTCAGAACTAATAGTCATAGGCAGTTTGGGACGTGTATGAACTGAGCTGTTGGCTGACTGTACTTCGACAATATGCTTCTCTTTCACACATACATACAGACACACAGAAACACACACAGACATACAGATAGATAGATAGATAGATAGATAGATAGATAGATAGATAATGGAACAAACGGAGATAGATAGATAGATAGAGAGATAGATAGATATTGAACAAACTGAGATAGATAGATAGATATTGAACAAACTGAGATAGATAGATAGATAGATAGATAGATAGATAGATAGATAGATAGATAGATAGATATTGAACAAACTGAGATAGATATTGAACAAACTGAGATAGATAGATAGATAGATAGATAGATAGATAGATATTGAACAAACTGAGATAGATAGATAGATAGATAGATAGATAGATAGATAGATAGATATTGAACAAACTGAGATAGATAGATAGATATTGAACAAACTGAGATAGATAGATAGATAGATAGATAGATAGATAGATAGATAGATATTGAACAAACTGAGATAGATATTGAACAAACTGAGATAGATAGATAGATAGATAGATAGATAGATAGATGAATAGATAGATAGATATTGAACAAACTGAGATAGATAGATAGATAGATAGATAGATAGATAGATAGATAGATAGATAGATAATGGAACAAACTGAGATAGATAGATAGATAGATATTGAACAAACTGAGATAGATAGATAGATAGATAGATAGATAGATAGATAGATAGATAGATAGATAGATAGATAGATAGATAGATATAAGTATTAACATACTGATATAGATAGATAGATCTGGACAGACTGAGATAGATAGATAGATATTGAACAAATACACGTTGAACAGATAGATAGATAATCAACAAACTGAGATAACTATAGAACAAACTGAGATAGATAGATAGATAGATAGATAGATAGATAGATAGATAGACATCTGACCAAAATCTTAATTCAAGTGTAAATAAAGAAAAAAAATGTAACTTTGCGTTGTTAGACTCAACCACTTGCTTAGAGCTCCAATAAATGGACATTAGACTAAATACTAGATTGTCTAAAATTTAAAACCATTCCTAAAAGTCGTCCTAAGCAGAGTAATGCCCAACGAAACGCCCCACTCGTGAGTTGCACGGCCATTATTATGAATAACTGCAAAAAATAGCTTTGGCAATGTCGAATTAAGCGTCTGCAGAAGGCTGGCAGGAATGTTATTCCAAGACGTGAAGATGGCTTCATGAAGATGATGCACTGTCTCGAATTGATGTCCATTTCTATAGATTCACCTTGCCATCCATCCACAGATATTTTCAAAAAAATTTCAGTGAACACGCTGGCCGGTCTAAAAGAATCATGTTACACGCAATTAAAAAGTTCTTTGTCAAGCGGGAATTATAGATTGCAGCGTTGTCTTGCTGAAAGATCCAGTTCCCATTTCCACACAAACTAGGGCCTTCAGTCAATAAGGATACTCTCTTCAACATGCTAATGAAACCAGCCGCGATTTGACGCTCCTATTTAAACTGAAGCACCATTGTTCCTTGGAAGAAGATAGCATCATGATAAGACCTCCTACCCTGTGTCAAGAAAATGTTTCCGGTAAGATATCCTTATCATGCCAGTAACATTGGAAGCCATCTGGACCATCCATGCTAAATTTTTTCCTCGTCAGAGAACAAAACGTTTTCTCACTTTTCTATGCCTTATGTTTGCCGCTTCTCAGCAATGTTTACCCGAGAGGTTTTGCGGTGTATAAGAAGGCGTGGAAATTGAAGAGGTTTACGGTTTTTAAAGTCCTTCTCTCGGAGATACCGTCTTATTGTTCTTGGGCTGCATTCCACACGCGTAAAGGCCTTAATCTGGTTCGATGATCCGATAGTGTCTTGCCGGACAGCACGTCGAATCTTCCTGCTCAATGCCGTCGGAACTTTCTTGGACCGACTGCTTGGAATTCTCGTTCCGTATCCTTCAGGGTCTTTTAAGAAATTCGCCACCGCAGTTTTACTCCATCCAGTCCCACCAGCGATAACAGTTTGAGCGAAACCTTGCATTTGCAGTTCAACAATTCTGCCGAGCTCAAACTCTGTCAACTTTTTTTGCCATGTTTTTGCCTATTGCAATGCAGAAGATACCAGTGGGAGATGTTGACTGAGTTAATGGTTGAACAAAAAAAAATAGATATATATAAGCAATTCCATACCAAAATGGAAAATCATGGAGGAAAAAAAATTCTTGCGTTAAACGTTTCCCCCATCGACTGCCTGAATTTAAGCGTGCTACTAGATTGGCAGTTAGGTTTCATCTGTTTACTGTTCAACTAGCTGAATGCTAGTTCAACAGTAAACAAATGTTTAATTAAATCTCTTGTTTATCTTAGTATATCTCTACAACAGAAAATCCGACGGTTTAAAAATTCTATATTAATAGTACTAAGAATTCTTTTAAGACTAGGTGGTATCAACATATCCTGTCCTTTACCAATAAAACTTGCAGAAATAATACATTTCTAAATATTTTGTATTTTAAAAGATGTTACAAAATAGAAAGATAAGCCATATATGGTGCAACACAGTACAACTAAAATATAAGAAAAAGCAAAAGTTTCAAAATTTAACTAAATTGTAAGGTAAAAGATAAACTATGCTTACAATTTACAGTTAATTCACTTCTTTGATTTAACAATGAATTTTTGTCAAAAAATCTGATGATTTCGAGTTTGTCATATAAACACAGAAAACAGGGTTCATATAGAGATCTACATGTGCTTGCCATTTTTAAATTCTTCCATTTCACTTTAGGCGTCTTATTAACATCTTTTAAAATACAAAATATTTAGACATGTATTATTTCTGTAAGTTTTATTGGTAAAGGACAGGATATGTTGATACCACATAGTCTTAAAACAATTCTTAGTACTACCAACATAGAATTTTAAACCATCTGATTTTCTATTGTAGAGATAAACAAGAGATTTAGTTAAACATTTGTTTGGCAATGGGCATTGGTCAGAATTCCTACAATTACATTGGCCAATATCATTAATAATATTTATCTGGGAACGTGTATTATGATCCAGATTATTGGTTTAAAATTTTATTATTGTGTAACTTTATAATCTTTTCAAGATTATTGGTGCAGTTATAACTTAATTTTAGTGTGTTTCCGTTAAATATTTTTCTAAGATGGTTACTTTTAGTTACTTCTTTAGTAAAGATAAATGATAGACGACTACTTTTGTTATATATATATATATATATATATATATATATATATATATTCAATGTAATTATTATTTATTATTTTATTTTAATCAGATAAATTATACTATTACTTATACTAATTTTATACTTATACTTATTTATACTATTATTTATTTTACAATAATAGGTCTTTAGTAAATCATTTTCTTTTAATTTTTTTAAAGAAATTTATGATCCCGCTTGTTGGCTTCGGAAAGAGATATTTCTTTTAAGATAGGGGATATTTGAAAAAATCGAGAATGTCAATAAACATTTTGTGAAGAATCATTAGTTACACTCTGAAGAACCTTCCATCTCAGTAAGTTATTTTTTTCTTTTGTCTTTATTAATAGTGTTTTTTACAGATAGATTTCATTTATATCTGAATTTTTACACACGCGCACATACATTCATTCATATTGTTATGGGATCTTACCCATAATAATAATAATAATGGACTATTCCATACTTAATAAATACTGCGCCGCAGGGGTAGGCAAAGTTTCAGTAGTTCAAGTAGAGTCAAGAGTCGAGTCAGAGGCAGTCCGAAACAGAGTCGCGTTCAGACAATTACTGCAAGACATTGGAATAGTGATACTGGTCGAGACTACATTGTTTCTCTACTAAACCTGATTGTTCGTACTAACACTTTCTACTTTGTATATATTCCTGTTTGTAATATACCTGTGTTATTCCATACCTGTGTTCGAGTTCTTCTTTATTGGTTCTACCGTGGGCTATCACCGTGGTACAAGGAATCGGATCATAACACACACACACACACACACACACACACACACACACACACACACACACACACATTATATATATATATATATATATATATATATATATATATATATATGAAACTCTCAAAAATTACTCCAGTAAGATATCTCGCCGATCGAGCAAAGCTGAATAGTGCCTTTAACTGCAAATTTCTTGAAAGATTCCCGAAACATTCAAGTCTACTCAGTTTCATAACTAAACGTAAACAAAGCAATTTCAAAAGAAGTAATGGATTTTTTAAATTTATCACTGTCGACCATTATTCTTAATTTTCGACTAGTATGTACTTGCATATCTATTTTTGTTAGATTAAGCATTGTCAACCATTATTATTAATTTTCAACTAGTATGTACTTATATCTTCATTTTTTGTTAGAAAAAGCATTGTGAACCATCAATATTAATTTTCGACTAGTATGTACTTGTGTCTTCATTTTTTATTAGATTAAACATTGTCGACCATAATTATTAATTTTCGACTAGTATGTACTTGCGTCTTCATTTTTTGTTAGAAAAAGCATTGTCGACCGTCATTATTAATTTTCGACTAGTATGTACTTGCGTCTTCATTTTTTGTTAGATGAAGCATTGTCGCCCATTATTGTTAATTTTAACTTGTCATTTTGTCAAATATGACAATGTCTGGGTTGAATTATTTTGTGCAAATCACTTTGCACGTAAATGCCACGTCACGGTTTATTCAAGGGCAGGTGAGAGGAAGGCGAAAGTATGTTCACCGAGTGGGCGTATGCGTGTCTCCGCGTGTTGAAGAAAGCCCCCGGACGGCTACGTTTAAAACATTCATGAATAATCCTGCTAATAAAAAAAAAAGGCGTACAAGTATTTGCCTGCCCTTGGCCAGTACTAAACACACGTGATACGTGCATCTTTTCCTATATCAACTGAGAATCCATGAAGAAAAAGAAAACCCAGAAACACCAAAAAAAAAAGAAAGAAAATGGGAGAGAAATTTTGTGTGCGCATGCGTTCGTAGGTACGCATGCGCGCTAATGACCAATTACGTCTGCGTTTTAGCATTTATGTACACAAACTTACGTATTCTGGTATTTACACATAGCATGTCGAGGCAAAGAGGACAAGAATTCAAGTCTCAGCATAAGTTTTTACTTTATTTTAATCCAGGATTCTCTGCTGAAAGACATGGAATGGTGGTCTGAACTAAACATTAAGATCAGATCAAGACAAATAAAAAAGCTCGAAAATGTTTCATCTGATGAATACGCAAGTATATACTAGCCGACAATAAATAATAATGGTTGATAAGACATCAAGTAACAATAAGTGAAGATGCAAGTACATACTAGTCGAAAATTAATTATAATGGTCGACAATAATTATCTAACAAAAATGAAGTGGCAAGTACATGCCTGTCGAAAATGAACAATAATAATCGACGATAAATCATCGAACAAAAAATGATGATGCAAGTACATACTATTCGAAAATTAACAATAATGCTCGACAATGCATCATCTAACAAAAAGTGAAAATGCGAGTACATAGTAGTCGAAAATTAATAATGATGCTCGACAATACTTTTTCTAACAAAAAATGAAGATGCAAGTACATACTAGTCGAAAATTAACAATAACAGTCGACGATATTTCATCTGGCAAAAAGTGGAGATGCAAGAACATACTAGTCGAAAATTAACAATGAGTACATACTAGTATCTGTCTATATTTCTGAGATGAGGTATTATGTACACTATTTACATTATCCGGATCTAGTGACAGGACCCAAAGTGTGTGAGTTCAATACCCGGTTAAGGTAGTGACGAACTTGGAGAGGTGAATTAACAGGAGATAACTGATAACTGACATCCATTAAACATGGCACGTGGAACTAGAACAGTCTATCCCAGTGAGCGAAATAAAGGTTTCAGTTCGACATTCCAACCACCTGAAGAAGGCCGGAGCGTACAACGACCGAAACGTTGTAATAAATATGGCGACAAAGATGAGGACAATAGTCCGAATAATGTAAATAAAGTACATACTAGTCGAAAATTAATAATAATGGTCGAGCATGCTTTATCTAAAAAACCTTGTGTTTGGACTTCTGTCGTACAAGCCACAGGCGAATAGAATATCGATAACTATGAAGCATTTGAAATGGATTTACGATTAGGTGGATATGAATTCCATAGGCTTACTAGCCGGTACGTACTAGCATCAACTAAACATATTTCGAACGCAACTATATGCCTTCATCAGATTTCGAGATAAGCTTTCATCAGATTTCATTGGATATGATTATATGACGGACGCATTGCCTACTGCGCTACGGAACCGCAGTCATAGATATATAAAGAATATGCCGTGATAGATAGATAGATAGATAGATAGATAGGAACAGCCTGAAGTAGATATGTGCAGACTGAAATAGATAGATAGATAGATAGATAGATAGATAGATAGATAGATAGATAGATAGATAGATAGAAACTGAATGAGAAAGAAAGAGACTGAGATAGATAGATAGATAGATAGATAGATAGATAGATAGATAGATAGATAGAAACTGAATGAAAAAAAAAGATAGATAGATAGATAGATAGATAGATAGATAGCATTTAATAGGGGAAATTTGATTACTTAGGAATTAGGCTAATTACTAGCTGGTCAAAAGTTCAAGATTATATTTAAATTTACACACACACACACACACACACACACACACACACACATATATATATATATATATATATATATATATATATATATATATATATATATATATATATATATATATATATATATAGTCAATGGATATAATCAAACCCCGTGGATAAAGGCGTTGGTTAGATCCAGTGACTAGACCCAAAGAGTTGTGAGTTCAATACCTGGCCACAGCAGAGGTGAACAAAAAATTGGAGAGTTGAATTAAAGAGAAATAAATGAGACATCCGAAAGAGGTATGACACATGGAACTAGAACAATCTACCCTGGTGGACGAAATATTAGGTTCAGCTCGAAATTCCAATCACCTGAAGAAGGCCGGAGCGTACAACGGACGAAATGTTGTGAATATGGCAATGCAGATTAGGATAACTGTCCGAATAATGCAAGTAATATTTAAACGAACTTAGGCTATACCATCTTTTGTTTGTACTCAACATTTTTCAAGTGAGCAGAACTGTTGCTAACACATGTCTGACAGGTGTTTCTTGTTGTCCAGGTGTTGCCTGTTTGATTGTTTAAACATTAAATAACTCTTAATGACTACTCTTGGTTTTAGAATTGAGTTTTACCTGTAAAGACTGCATTTCTTGTTAAAAAGAATAAACCTATATGAAATACGAGAAAGCTGTCTATGGGAGAAAAGCAAGCCATTTTGAAGCTGAGAAACTAAGGGAAATCAATCAGAGCCATTGGGCAAACATTGGGTATAGCCAACGCGTCAATTTGGAATGTGATGAAAAAGAAAGAAAACAACAACAGTTGATGACAGAAATATTGTGAGAGCCGTGAGGAAAAAACCCAAGACAACAGTCAGTGACATCATCAACAACTTCCACAGTGCGGGATATGGGTTTGCAACCGGCCGTTCGAACAAGTCTTCGAGAGCAGAAATATAGAGGCCATGCTGCAGGATGTAATTCACTCATTGGCAGTAAGAATCGAGAGGCCAGAGATAAACGACAAAAGTTCTGTAAGAAAGTTTTATGAATTAGTGAGACCAAGATTAATCTCTACCAAAGTGATGGAAAGGCCAAAGTGATGGAGAAAGAAAGGATCTGTTTATGGTCTAAAGCATACAAGCTCATTTGTGAGGCAGATGGAGGCAGAGTCTTGACTTGAGCTTGCATGGCTGCTTCTTGAACAGGTTTATTTATATTTATTGATTATGTAACTCGTGACGCTAGCAGAAGAATGGATTCAGAGGTCTAAAGAAACGATTTGTCTGCAAATTTACAGAGAAATGCATCCAAACTAATCAGGAGAAAATTTATCAATGTAACAGGACAATTACCTGAAACATTTTTTAACTGGGAAAAACTATTCGAACACGTGTCAGACAGGTGTTTCTTGTTGCCCAGGTGTTGCGTTTTAGATTGATTGTTGTAAGCGATCTGGGATGGCAAAGGAAATATTTGTCGCAGATTAATTCCACAACGCAGAGAATAGATCACTGTAAGTTAAGACTCGAACAACGGGGGCAGAAAGAAATGCCGAAAACTCGATTCGCAGGTACTATCTCACAAATCACAATGCACGTAACCCAGTCAGAAAAATAACTCACTCTCCGACGAACGCGGTAGCGAAAATTTCCGAATTTTATTTTCTCTTTTGCTTTTATCGGCCGAACATTTCTTTTCATTTGTCGACAACTGGGAGAGGACGCTCAATTTTAGCATATCAAAATACTTTTATAGCGACTCTTGCGACGGACTTGTTTTTAATTTAAATATTCCGTCTTCAGCATGTCATGCGAAATACGTGCCCTTTTTTTTTCTTTTTTTTTTGGTAAGTAATTTTCTTTTTCGTCACATTTTCCGTCGTAAGATACACGCGACGCGCTGTCGCTTGGTTTAACGAAGAAAGTCGCTGTTTTCTTCGCTATAATTGCTTAAATATTAAATAACCCTGAATGCCTACTCTTGGTTTCACCTGTAAAGACTACATTTCTTGTTAAAAAAAAGAAAGAAAGATAAATCAACATGAAGACGAGGGAGAGTTATCTATGGGAGAAGAGCAAGCCATTTTGAAGCTGAGAAAAGAAGATTCGACCAAAGCCATTGAACAAACATTAGGCATAACCAACATACCAATTTGGAATGTGATGAAAAAGAAGGAAACTACTGGTGTACTGAGCAACATACGTGCAATAGGTTGGCCAAGGAAAACAACAGCAGTTGATGACAGAAATACTGTGAGAGCTGTGAGGAAAAAACTTCATAACAATATTCAGTGACATCACCAATAACCTCCACAGTGCAGAGAGGAAGAATTCACTATCCTCTTTTCGAGAACAGAAATATAGAGGCCACACCACAAGATGCAAACCGCTCATCAGCAGTAAGAACCAGATGACCAGATTGGAATTTGCAAGGAAGTACAGAGATGAGAAACAAAAATTCTTGAAAAAGTTTTATGTAGTGTTGAAACCAAGATTAATCGCTACCAAATTGATGGAAAGGCCAAAGTGGGAAGAAAGAAAGGCTATGCTTATGATCAAAAACATCCAAGCTCATTTGTGAAGCATGGTTGGGGCGGTGTCTTGACTTGGGCTTGTATGGCAGCTTCTGGTAAAGGCTAATTTAAATTTATTGATGATGTACCTCATTATAACAGCTGCAAAATGAAGTTACAAGTCTACAGAAAAATTTGTCTGCTAATTTACTGAGAAATGCATCCAAACTAATCAGGAGGAAGTTTATCATCTAGCAGGACAATGACCCAAAACATACTGCTAACACAACAAAGGACTTCATCAGGGAAAAACTGGACATTTTTAGACTGGCAAGTCAATCTCCGGACTATAAACTAATGGAGCTTGTATTTCATCTCCTGAAGAGAAGCTTGAAGGAGACAAAAAAAACGAAATAAATAAGGACTGAAATAGTCCGGGTTAAAAGTTTGGAAAAGCATCACAAATGAAAAATGCAACTGTTTGGTAATGTCAGTGGGTCGCAGTACTGGAAGCAAGGGTTATACAACCAAATAATAAATGTTATTTACATTAAGACTATCTGTTCCTTTACTTTTGCTCACCTGAAAATGGAGTGAATCTGATATAAAAGGTGGTATGACCTCAGTTTTTAACACATCTAAATAATTCGATAATAAAGTTGCATGCTTCTTTTACGGCCGGTGATCGCTAGTTGTTTTGGCTCGGTGATAAAAGAGAACTTTAACACAGGGGATTGTAAATTGGCTAGTTTATTAACATCTAGCGAATGGGGCCGCTCTCTCACCCCACTGGGAATCCACTTCCCGACACGAAGGAAAGACGTCTACATTGTATGACGGTTTAGCTTCTACCCACTGAATTCCATTTCTATATCTCTATCATTCCCACGCTCTTTAAGCCATTCAAAATCGACTTCCTTTATTTTGTCTTGTATCTGACCTTAACGGTCAAACCCAGGAAGTCCAAGCAGCGATACACTTCTCTAAAAAAAAAAATAAATAAATAAAAGTTTGCTAAGCTATTACTTAACATTAACAGGATTAGAAGTTTATCCCGTGTTTTCTATTTAGAATTGGGTTTCCGGTTGCTTTTAAAGACTTTTACTTATTGTTTCGCTCCCAGTAACTATTTGCGTCTTAGTTGCATTATCGCTTTCCTTGGGAGTGGGTTGATTTTTTTAATTCTGAATTCTTGTCTCATATTCATCTTTTGATCTTAAACCCAAATGTCTTCAATGAACAACAAAAACAAAGGAATTGGCCCTGCCGTTACAATAATTTTGGAGGGGATTGTACATGTTTCTGGAGACATGGTTACTAGAGGAGGTGATAGCTATGTTTTATGTCGTAGTTTTGTTCAAGTTATATTTTGGAATACAGTTTGATTTGAGAAATTGTAGCATATTATATGGATTAATATCCAGAAAGATTTCTTTCATGATGTTTGTTTGGCTGGTTTTGTTTAGTATCTTAACATATTTGGGAAGGATAAAAGAATAATCCAGAATCTATACTGGCAGCAAACCGCCTGCATACGGTTAGAAAATGAATTCAGTAATTATACAGGAAAAAAGAAAGGGGTGTAAGACAAGGAAGTATCTTCTAACAAGATTTATTCAATCTATAGAGAGAGGCGACTCTGAGAGAACTAGAAGTCCTACCAGGATTTGTTACTGGCGGGCACACACTTAACGACATAAGATATGAAGGTGACACAGGGTTGCTAGCAAATACAGAAAGGTCAAGGTGGACCTGGGAACAACAGCAATTAAGAGGTGGTACCACACTCCTCAAAACCCCCAATCTCCCGATGAGAGGCCTTGCTGCCGGATGTAGTTTATCGTCATACACAGGACTAGATAGATAGATAGATAGATAGATAGATAATGAACAGACATAGATAGATAAATAGATAGATAGATATCGGACTGATATATATATATATATATATATATATATATATATATATATATATATATATTTTGAACAATAAGAAAATAAAAAATTAAAAAATTAAAATCATTAGACACACTGGGTTGTAGATTAATATTCTTTCGTTTTTTTATTATTATTATTCCATTTAGATTCCTCGACTAGTTTCGACCGAAATGGCCATCATCGGGAGGAGAAATATTTCTGCTTGCTGTTGGCAGTGAACTACAGAAATGAATGTCTTTTGTTGGAGAAAATGAACTTTTGTCTGTAGTTTTCATTTGTTTTTTTTTTTTTTATCTTTTTCACATGAATCTTTTAACATTCCTTGTGTTGGTCAAACAGTCTCTTTTAAGTTGTTATTTGAGATAAGAACTGGATAGATACATTTTATCCTGAATTCTCTGGTCAGTTTGACAGTTTTATTGGACCTGGTGAGGGATGTGTCTCTGTTTAGTGTTTGTGTGTGTGTTATTTGGTTCTTAGGGGAGTGAGTGAGTATGATATG